TGTATATATACGAACCTTATACATTAATATATATATTAATATATATATATATATACATACATATATATAATATATATATATATATATATATGTATATATGTATATATGTATGTATATTTATCTAGTTTCTGCTGCTTAGCACTGGAGACACAAATAATGTACGGAATAAATCAAATAGATAATAATACAGTGCTCAAATATTATAGGAACATGATGTTATAAATTTAGCAAACAATTCATCAAGGAAATTACCTTATCATTATAGGCCTAGTTGTATGAAAAAAAAAGGTCTGTGGTGAGAATCATATCGTATTGGCCTCTGTGGTCTAACGGATGCAAGACCAGGTTCTCTCTCCTTTCATCCAACATGAGGGCTCACACGTACTGGAGCGAATTTTATGTCAAGCTATAAGTGGCAGCTGGAAAAACATTAAATAATATTCAAATCAAGTTTTTCCTGCCTAGCACTGGAAACATAAATAGTGTATACATCAAATAATAATTAATACAGTGCTCAAATATATAGGAACATGATGTTACCAGTCGTATCAAACATATCAAACATAGTTCATAAACGAAAATTCCTTATTAGTTGTATAAAAAGTTGAACCCGCAATCTATTGCTGTCTCGGCGAGAATCATATAGGCCTACACCGTCAACTTGGGTAACTTTGGCAGGCGTTGGTAACTTTGGCAGGAGGGCGTAACTATGAGAAATTGCTCAATATTTCGTAAGCTCTTACAACCATGTTTTCGAATACGGTGTTATATTGTTTTAAAATAAATATTTTATCAAACTAGACGGTTCATTAGACCGTTAATAAAAATTAAATTCGGGATTCGAGCCTGCGAACTCTCGCTGTCAAGGAGAGCGTCATAACCATTAGTCCACAGAGGCTTTATGGTTGAACAGATTCAAATAACCGCCAGATACTTTATTACACAATATGTACGGCTGGAAACAAATAGTTGCATATAATGTAAATCAATATAGTTGTTAACACTGTTGAATTATATATAAATCATCAGAGAAAGGTAAATACAGTGTTCGAATATAGGTCATGATAATACATCTTGTAGCATAGCTCTCAATGAATGTTGCCTATAATTATCATCTCCTTCATTCGAACACTATATATATATATATATATATATATATATATATCATTTATTTGTTTGAAATATATAGGTTCAATTTTTACAGATCTTTTTCACGATGAAACTTCCTATACACTTCGTGCATAATGAAAAATTCAACTTAACCCTCTTTCCTACATTGTGTAGAGCATCTAGGCATCTCGTATGTACAGATGCTTGTCTAGTGTATACAGTAATTCTACATGTTATTGAATTTGTTCTTTTTATTGGTACATCTTTTACTTTTTATATTTAGATGTTATATAAGTACTGTATTTGATGTTTGAAACACAAACAAATATCCACACTACAGATGCAAGCGATTGATATCATTATGAACCGCACGGCACACCCTGTGGCACGTAGGCCTAACTTTGCCCAGTGAAACAAAGATTTTTGCTGATCTCGGAAATCTTTATTACTGGCGTTTACGCTATTTGATGAAATTAAATATAAATAAGCGCATACAATTATACATTACCATTATTTTGAATTATCACGATGTTTCAAGAATATATTTTTTTTAATTAGCTATTCAATTTGTGTTAATGCTCAAATAATTAATATAAAAATTGTAATCTGCAATAAGTAAAAGAAAAATGCAATTCGAAGTAGGATTATCTATGCTACAGCACGCATCGTTACTCATACTATTAATTTAAACAAGTCACTTTGTTTTATTTGTTTGAAATAAAAGGTGACATTCCAAACTGATACCACCGTAATGGTTTGTATGCTTAACATGGACTTTGGTTTTGTACCCACAAAGAACGATTTTAAAAACGAAAATACGTACCGTACGCGTATGTTGTAGCTTTTTACACGTGCCTGTGCCAAGGAGCGCTGCTAAGACCACAGTGGCGGTCATTTTTTTTTTTTCAAAGTTATAAAAATATATGTAGAAAAAAATTATATTCCAATTTCAGCCTGAGAGTGCCATTTGTGGTCATATGAGATGCCATAATCATCAATTGTCCTACCTTAGCCCCAACCATAGTGGGGCTGAGGTGGTGTAGACCCTTTATCTGTGAAAGTCCTTCCCTGGGCCCCTCTACTTCAAATTCTTGGATCCGGACGTGTCTTCTGTTCAATAAATAAAAAGCTGACTCACGTATACAAGCATTCGTATTAACAAGCATAACTATCAAATATTTTCTTTCGTTTTGTTTTTTAAGTGTTTTAAAATTAAAATGTATTTAGTATATTTAAAATATTTTATTGGGAAAATGTCAACCGTTTTTATTTAATGCATTCCAGTCCATTGTGATATTGCTAGCCAATGAATACAATTTACAATATCTTTAAACATAAGATAAACGACAATTGTAATACGGAACTTGCTTTGTAGATGGCGGAATATAGATATATCGATCGCTATCCATCCAAGCGCAGACTCAATAATAGGCGTTACAAAGAAGAATACGAAGAATGGGATAGGTTATGGAAACCACGCTTCGAAGTTCCCCCAGAAGCCTTTAACATGCCCAAAGTGCTGAGAATGGCCAGCGAACGTGATTACATCATCAACTATACAATGGACCCCTTCCACTTTAAAGTGATTCGTAAGAAGACTGGTACTACACTGTATGTATTAGTCTATTTTATTCGTACAAATTATATGGAATGAAATGTAATAACTAGATGTAAGCCTGTATGTGGGTATGATGACGTCATATCACATATTATCAAATTGTATCAAAATCAGTTGAACGTGTTCAACTCTTATGTTCCATCACATTTTATGTGACCCTTTTTGATGGAATTTGATAGTGTAAGACAAAGCTTTAGTCGTACAGTATTCATGCTTTTGCTATTATTGTTTATTGTGTATCCATTCTTTACTATAGTCAACATTATCGTGAGTGACATTTCTCTTAAAATGAATGTCAATGCTTCAGATAAAGCAAATTGCTTATAAAGAATATAGGCTTAGGCCAACAGTATGCCAATTTAGTTGAGGAAACTTTCCCTCGTTGTTTCCTAAATGTATGTTATATGTTCGAGGTAATATATTATTATTATTATTATTATTATTATTATTATTATTATTATTTAATTACAATCAATAGAGTACATACGTAATAATAATAATAATAATAATAATAATAATAATAACAATAATAATAATAA